TTACATTATTTTTCGTACACGCAAAATTCACCATAGTTTGGTTCTGCATAACAATATTAGCTTAATTGAATATAACAAATCAAAATTACATAAAAGTTGGTTAATTTACATGATACTCCACCTATGATGTTATTTTTTTGAGTTTAAGTTTTTTAAGTTTTACAATCAGTCATTGTAAAATAAGTTCAGCTAAAAGAGAACAAGATATTTATATTTAGATTTAGATTTAGATTTAGATTTAAGGTGAAAGTCGATGGAATCCACAAATGGCCGCTATTTGGTTTATTTTGCCTTGCCACTTTGAATTTTTGGCGGCACAGATCTCAGGATTGTGGATTCCATCAACTTTCACCTTAAGAAAATAATTATATTACCCCGAGTATTACACAGCAACACCATATTTAACAATTCAAAAACAAAAACAAAACAACAAGTAAAAAAACAAATGAAATTAAGCGAAAAAAAAACTCATTCCGAATTTGAGAAGACATTTTCTTGTTCATTAGAAACATCTGTTTCATATGTTTCTTCCAGCCGATATTCGCTTTCTTGCATGAAGTCCTCTGAGAGTAGCATTTGCAATGTTTCTGTCGTCAAAACCCTTGACTTTTTTTTTTTATTTATTTACTTTCACGTTGTTTACCTGTGATTTCAAGATCAGAACTAAGCAGCAGTCTATTCAGTACATCCATGTTGTATAGCTTCTTATGAAAACTGCCCTATTGGTAGCACCGTAGCAGTGTATGTTCTATAACTGTGGATTAAAATTTAATGCAGAATTGGAGTCATCGGATACCATGAATACATTCGAACGTATATCGCCGCCGTTTCTTGAGTAAATGTTTCAAACTTTTCCGTATCAATTTAAAACCGCTAGCTAGTGTCTCCAATATAACTTTAGGCTGGTATATCAAATTAAAATCAACACCTGTTATTTGAGCAGCGGTTGCCGGATCAACAAAGAATCTTAGACTAGTGTAGTCATCCGAATTTTCAAAGGCTGGTTTTGGAAAATCCACAAGTAGTCCCAATTTCTTTCTGAAGAGTTGGTTGGAAATGCTAACATGAAGCTTTAGTGTGATGATTTATTAGCTAGAGAATGATCTTTAGAAGAATGTAGGTGGATAGTTCCGTTAGAGTACGGCAGTATGAAAATTGAATAGAAGTTGAAAATGAGCGAAGGGCCATTAAAGCGACAGTTTACAAGATGTCGCTTTAATGGCCCTTCGCTCATTTTCAACTTCTATTCAATTTTCATACTGCCGTACTCTAACGGAACTATCCACCTACACTCTTCTAAAGATCATTCTCTAGCTAATAAATCATCACACTAAAGCATCATGTTAGCATTTCCAACCAACTCTGAAAATCGTTAACTTCGCGTATGAAGTAACATAAAAAACACTTTGAATGTTCTTTCTGAAGTTTTCTTAAATGTGATCTTTTCTTTTTTTGGCGATTTGCTTTTCTTTGCCAGCTAACCATTTTTAGATCGGCAACTTGTAAGAAAGATGTAAAATTGTCTCGAAAATACGAATTTGCATGAAAAATGGAAAATCCGAATTTAAGATCCACAGATTAATTTCCTTTTTAACACCAAGATTATTGAATTCCTCTGAAGTTGCGCCACATACATAACATTTCATCGTTGGTGTTTCAGCTGCTGCATTACACACTTTTCCATCAACCATAGTGATCATAAAAGTATGGCTAATAGTGAACTGCTTGCCATTAAATGTAACTTTTGTTGACCGTAGCGAATTAATTGCATTTTTAATATATCTGATCTCTTCATTATTTACCTCAGATGATTCCTTGATAAACTTAATGTGGATTGGGTGACAGTACCGAAGTCAAGATGGAGTTGGGTTTTGCCAAACTATGTTTGAATTAGATCCACAAACTATTCTCAACTGTAGAACACGCTCGTATCAGAATCCATATCCACACGCACCTGATGGAATTATGAAACAAGAAAAATATACCTGAAAGGCAAGCTCCCCCCCCCCCCTTCCCCCTAACCCCATCCAAAACAAGGCCTTGACCGCCAAGGTTGCCACCCTGACCGCCAAGGTTGCCGCCTTGACCGCCAAGGTTGTCGCCTTGACCGCCGTATAATGAATGAAAATGTCATTAACTGAATTTGTGTACTTTTTTTGATAAATTCACGTATATGGACAGGCCATCTTCATTTTCCAATATCTCGAAATATCGCAAATAATCGCAACTGATTTTTTGCTATAATCTTCTATACATATGTACGTATAATGCCTCATATACGGCTTTACAGGATATTACAGGATAAGTCAACTTTTTTATTACGATACATTTATTTTATAGTTTAAATAACACTTGAAGACAAGATTTTCATAAACTGCTTCTTCGAAGTCAAAACTAAGTGCAATCAGCTGATGTCATGTGGAATACATATTCCAATAAATGCTTGATCACTATCCATTTTTGCAAATTAATGTGATTATCCCAACAACAAGTAGAGGCACGAAAACAATGGCATTGCGAAACGATTTTTTCTAACAAACCAACACGATGCAACAACAGGCAAGTTTGAACTGATGCCACAACGCGGTCAGTTTAGAAAAAGAAATAATGAGTACAGGGCAATGTTACCCTATCTCTGAAGTATACAATGCATGCATTCAGAATCTGTTTTGGCTTATTTTGAGAAATCGACTTTTGGCCAGCTAGCGTAGAACAAATACTCCTCCGTGCGTCGCCGAATGGGATTGAACCCAGGCCTGCTGGGGTGAGAGGTAATCACACTTACCACTAAACCACCGGCGCTGCTGAATACTTCACTTCGCAACCGATGAACCATTCTGACGGCCATATGAGTACCCAAGTAACCATTTAGTCGCTATTGCGAATAGCTTGTATTTATTATATTATTAGCTTGTAATTACTTACTTTGCTTCAGTATGGTTAGTTGGGGAAACTGATGAAAGTATGATTTCTTGAAACTAATCCCTTTCGAATTCCATTCATTCTCTTTTCGTACTTTGCATATAGCACCATCTCATACTAAACTTTACATTGATTCAATGACTCATTCCGAGTGCTCGGTGGACCAGTGATTTAAGACGCGAGCCTTATGCCAGATGACCATGGCAATACCGTAACATATGGTGGACATGAGATTGACCAAACCAACCAGCGAGGAAGAGTAAACATCGAATCAGGTACGGAAATTAGTGCGGATTTATCTCCCTCGGAAAACAAGAAAAACCTGGAAAAGGCGGAATCATGTCAGAACCGTTTTTGGAGTTTTTGGATTGTAAATTATATAATTGGAGATCCACCTGTACAGCCGCTCGTCGCAAGTTGGTCCAATTTGCGTTTCTGTCAAAGCAGATTTTTTCAATGGAGATGGTAGCTAATCACCCATATTTTCATAATACTAGATGAAATCAACAACTTTGTTCTGGAAAAGTTTGGAAAAACTGCCAAACAGGTTGTTCCATTACACAAGAAGCAATAGTGAGAAACAAATTTTAACCGAGTTTTTATCGGCTTGCTGATCTGTGCTACGGGACGGACTTGCCATGAGCGGCAGTGTAAGTTAGGTGGAAAACTGTTAGTTGGGCATTTAGATCCACAGTTCTTGGCAGACGACTCCGTCGTCTTGTGCATAAGCCAAGAATGTTAGTGCCGTACCAGGATTCTCATTACACATTATTAACATTTGGTAATCGTAATAGAACCCATGATTGAAACAAAGAAAAACCCACCAAACTAGCATTATATCAATGCATCATGTAACATCTCCCTAGATTGAACAAGACATAACAAAAGTTTATAATATAGTCGAAGTATTCCGAGTTGGTTGAATGAAAATCGGTACCGGCAACTTGGAGTAGCTTGGATCGGCTGATTGAACACCAAATGTTCCTGTTATCTGTTTCGAGATGTCATTGAACAGTCGTACCGAGATGGGCTAATCTTATTTTAATAGTTCCAAAATCTTCTGCAGTATGTCTTTGATGCTCTTATATGAGCCTGTGCTTGCTCTCTACATAGTGAATTTGATTGGTTTGATTGCTGCACTTCCATTGCTATTAATTGAGAGTATTTTTCATTCCACCCAATGCATGAATTTGTATATTGTGTAGCATGGATAATGATGGCCAGAGATGTCTACAAAAATTCATCCCAAAAGATTTTTTAGATCGAGCTGGGAATCTGAAACACCGTCTCCGGCTTGATAATATCGTTCCCTTATATATTAGGCTATGTGAGGCTCCCATAGTACAACCTTAATAGATAATAACATGATATTAAATTTTACGGTTCGAAAATTGTAATGTACATTTATGGAAAGTCGGATATTGCTGATCAGGGACAATGATTCATTGAAAAATGTATTTTTTTTTCATTTTGGTAGGGATTTCCGTTATATTTCTCTGTTTATTAGTCTGTATATATAGTTTAATTATTACAACAATAATGATAATTACTTTAATTTTGTTTGTTTTTGTAGTACGTTTATACGTTAATTGTTTTCATTCATTGATTAAGTTATGGGCAAATAAGTAATTAGTGTACATATTAGATTTCAATTTCTCTGTCGGTATGTATCAAAATAAATCGTAGTGTTGAATGAAGGTTTAATATGTTTTATCTGTACAAACTATTATCCATTGTTATTTTGCTTAGATTTTATGTTCCTTTTCAAATAAATGAGAAAAATCCGTTCGTAATCATTTACAATGCTTGTGAGATGAGCAACAATCACAATTACGATCAGTTATTGCAAATCTATTGTAACAAAACGCTTTAAAATAAAGATTCTGTGCGATTTGAACGATACTTATTTCATTTTTTCCTTCAGTATATTTCAAACTATTGTAAATACTGTTATGCAAATAGGCATGCCGTTTTTTGGTTGGAAACCAATATAGTGTAGTTTACCCGCCATGTCATGGGTGAAGGTAAGCACTGACAACAACAGAGATAGTCTCAAAAAACCGATTTTTCCTGATGAAAAAGGGTGGCCAAAGTGAAATCAGTTTATCGGAGAACGTCTCTCAGCTATCGTAGGCACATGCAGATGATTTTTGTTTGTTTGTTTTAAATGTATTCCTTTGATTGAAATTCCATTACATAATGAAAAACATGCATGGGAATGAATGGTGGAGACATTGATAACATCATTCTGTTGATTTACTTCGTTTTTGTTAATACCATTTATCCGTTCTTGTCAAACATAGTCGTTCACAGTAATATTCAAAGCTTCCCGAAAAATGTTCGTTTTGCAGTTATTGGTATGTTTGGTGAATCTGTCGATGTCGTTATGTATTCTTTCATTCCATCACTTATTGAATAGTTTTAAAGTTCCGCTAGTGCACGTTGATTAACGATGCTGAACAAAACTAGACATTGCCTATACCTTTTCTAGGAAGGAAAATTATTTACATCTTATGACGTTTAAGTAGTTATTCATATTTAGCCATGCTAGTTGTTCCGGAAAAGTTCTACTCAACGCGTGATCCATGGTCGTCTTCTGCTTCAGTTCATGTGTATTCTATTTGATGGAATTTATTTCGATTTATTATGTTTTGACCAATTGACTGCGTATTATTGACAAAAATTAGTTTTTAAAATTGTTGCTTTTCAAAAAAACAAAAAAAAAAACATTTCATTTGATGCTCCGAATTCCAATCTAGACTGTTCGTTCATATTTCGTTCAGGAAATTATTGTTTGATTGTATAATATTCCAGTTAGTTTTGGTTATGTGTAATACTGATTATTTATTTGTCAGTAGAAGAGACTGAAATCCAATAGGGCCCAAAATAATATGTTTCGCTCATTCTGTGCACCACCCACGACTTTCACTTAAGTTTATTGTCTACACTAGAACAACATACCTAGATATTCGTATTGTGTCTGTAAATGAGTGCTATTTCGTTCAACAAAATGATCGATCATGGTTTGTTCTTTTCTTTTTTTTTCACTACATGTTCTATTGTATTATTCACTAACTGACAACTTCAGTAGTTCCAATCGTATTTCTAGACATTTTGCTCCAGATGAAAAAAAAAAAAAACGATAATTCCAAATCTTTTAATACGATTTTAAACATTTTTGACCGAATTGAATTTGCCTTTTTTCACAACGAAATTATTATAACCTTACCTAACAAATTTATAGCAACCAAAAGACAATGCCATTATGCTTTACGATATGAACAATTCTTCCAATCTATAATTCTTTCCAATTTTCAATGTACCACGTACATACTTAGTTTTTGTTTTATTCTGCTTGAGTTTCAGCAATCAAGAGTGTGAATATCCTAGTAGCAATGTAATCGTATGCTTTTTTATTCGATTCGGTGTTTGTGGAACGCTACAAAGTGATTTTTAGCAGTTGCAGTTAGCGTTAGGAGGACCCTGTGGCTGATCCGATAGCCGTTGCCCTTTGGGTCCTCCTGCCACGAGAGTTGGATCAGAATCTAAGCTCTCTGACATTTTATCGCAGATAATGTCCACTAGTCTTTCAAATACATTCTGTAAAGTAAAGGATGGGGATTAATTGATCATACTATGCAATACTAACTAAAACTACATACCTTTACATTCACATTCTCTTTTGCAGACGTTTCGAAAAATTCAACTCCCAGCTGATCAGCCAGTTGCTTACCGCGTTCAAAAGATATAACACGTTCATCTTCCATATCGCACTTGTTTCCAACAAGGATCACTTGTGCGTTGTCCCAAGAGTAAGTTTTGATTTGTGTTACCCTGTTAAAAATATAAATGAACAAAATGAATGCTTACGGTTAGCACTATTGTATGAGGAAAAAGTCGGTAAAGACGGGCACAGCAGGAAAGATGGACACTTACTGCTTCAAATCAAAAAATCATTGCATAATAAATTTAGAACTACAGTCTATTCAGATAAACTAAATAAAGAGGTTTGTTTATAATAAAAGTAAGCATTGCTTAATTTATTATTTTTTTTTAATTTAAAGCAGCATGTTTCCATTTTTCCTGCTGTCCTTACCGACTTCCCTTACATTGTTGTCTTTGCGATGATATGAATATAAATGGCGAGAATTAAAAAAAAAACAATATGGTAGAGCGCTACTTCGCCGTAATCGCCCATTTCCGTTCTATCGATCAGAAAAGATCAATAAAATCAATGATTCTACTATGCACAAATCAATAATATGTTTGTTCCGATGCGTTAGTTCATTAGCTACAAGATAAATCCTATTAGAGCGCATTGTATGAATATTTACGCTCATTGTTCTCAAAACAAAAGAAGTGCTCCTAGCGAATCCCTTTTTTCTACTTTTATCCGTAGAACGAAGAAAATATAATGGCGTTTCAATGCGTTTTGACGGAATTGAAACTCGTAGGACGAATTTAGAATCAAAAAGCAGTATTAGATTTTAAAAAATACCTCAAAATTTGTGACTCTTTATCAAATCTAACGGTACGTATGGAAAGCTTAATAGATCCTTGACAGAAATTTTCCATTTTTTGTTCAAACCCGTTCAAAACAGAGAGGTAAAACGCGGGTTGTGCTTAGTAGGACGGAAATTAGATCAACAACCTTATATGAGATGGTGTGCTACGTTGCAAGCGTGACTGCCTCACATCCTAATCAATGGTTCACAATTTCATCAAAGATAGAGTACTGGATGCATATAAGTAGGGAATTTGCTAATTGTTGCACATCTAAGTACATGCTTTTTAATATTTCGCGTATTCACTAGGTTGGTAACGTTTTTGAAGTAGGATTTCCTCAAGAAACATTTGAATGTGATTCATGAAGTATTTCCTTAGTCCATCAGTAATTTATATTCGTTAAATCTTGCCTTATAATAAATCTTTTGATTGTGTTTCAGAGCCCAATTGATGCAATCATCATTTGCTTTGAAAAATTTTTCAATTGATTTATGTTTTAATTTTAGATTTATTCTATTATTGCACACAAAAAATATATGGCTTAATGTATCTTAGAATGCATTCTTTCAGCAAGAAAATCATTCAGTCATTCTGTTGTATATTGTACTTTAGATTTACGCTATAGACTGTTTTATTTATTCCAACATATAAGCCATAAAAACATAAGAGAATCCACGAACCCCTCATTTTATCCATCAAGCTTTCATAGCGAATCAAAACAAACATAGTGAAGTACTGGAATTTATACTAGAATGGGGTACGTTAATCGATTTGCTTGGGACCAATAGGCTAGTTAAGTAGTGAGCCAATTTAAAATCTTTAGTTTCGTATTGATTGTTGGTATTAGTTCGCCTGCGTGAGCTAAGAGTTTCGACAAATTGATTTACAAAAGCAGATATGGTTATTTGAAACTTACGCTGATCTGGCTCTAAACACGGCCACCATGAAGGCAACCCTAGGATGGCCTCCCTGCTTGCATAGATAACCATGGGATCACAACAGGCGACTACATACAATGAGTGGAGATAGCGGCCTGGAAGGAGGGACCCAACAGAATGGAGAAAAACGGAGGAAAAAAAATTAAATGGAAGAAAAAAAAAAAAAAAAAAAAAACAAAAAACAAAATAAAATATGAAGGACGACGGCAAGACGCCAGACACTGCAAACGGAGAAGCGAACGTGTTCGCAAGAAGCGGGATATTGCAGAGATCACCAGTGCTGAACCTGGAGGCCACACTGAGTTCCAGCAGCAGAAGTAAGCCCCAAGGTGAGCAGCAAGGACACCAAGGTGAGCTAGGTCTTGTGCTAAGCCACATGTTCAAACCGAAATCCAGCAGTAGCACACCATAAGAAGGATTGCAGCTTGGGAAGACCAAATTGATGGAGCTCAGGAGGAGGATCAATGAACTTCATGACTTCGTCAAGGATAAGAGCAACGTCCACAAGGCACAGGAGAGGAAGAGGAGTTGAAAAAAGTCAAGAACGACAAGGAAGACAACAAGGAGGAAGGGTGGCGTACCGTCGAGAAGCCGAAAGAGAAGTGGAGAAAACGGAAGGAAACATAAGTAAAGAAGAAAGAAGAACAGAAGAAGGAGAAACCCAGGCCTCGTTGGGAGCGAAGTAAGGGCGATGCTCTGATCGTCGAAGCGAAAGACAAAACGTCGTATGCAGTATTCCTCCGGAAGGTTCTACAGGATCCGGAGTTGAATCAACTAGGAGAGAACGTGGTTAAAACCAGGCGCACCCAGAAAGGTGAGATGCTCTTTGAGCTGATGAAGGATCCTACGGACAAGAGCTCAGCCTTGAAGAAGCTCGTCGAAAAGTCTCTTGGCGAAGGGATGTGCGTAAGAGCTCTATCCCAGGAGACAGTGGTCGAGTGCAGGGATCTGTGCGAGATCACTACAGAAGAGGAGCTGAGAAGTGCGTTGAGAGTGCACTGCAATCTGGGAGACGTCCTGATGTCAATCCGGATGAGAAAGGAGTACGGCGGCATGCAAACGGCGGTGATACGACTTTCGACAGTTGCAGCGAATAAGGTGTTGGAGACGGACAAGGTCAAGATTGGGTGATCAGTGTGCTCGCTGAAAGCCACTACTCGGTTTACCAAGCAACTGGAGCGATGCTTCAAGTGCATGGGTTTCGGTCACCAGGCGAGAAAGATCTGATCTATGCAGGAGAAAGGTCATATTGCAAGAGGCTGCACGAAGTAACCGAGGTGTATGCTCTGCAAAAAGAGGACGGAAACGATCATACGACGGGAGGCCTCAAATGCCTAGCATACAAAAAGACGATGGCAGGCCAACAGTAATGGAGGTAACTCAAATAAACCTCAATCATTGCGACACTGTTCAGCAACTGTTGTGGTGGTCGACAACAGAAACAAAGTGCGACATTGCGTTCGTTCCCGATAATGGTAGCTGCTCAGTGCTTGGTATCAATATTCGGCAACTGTATTAGTGAAACCAGTTTTCCCATTACGAAACGCCTCGTTTTCTGATGTCAAAATTACACATTTTCATGCACAAAACGCGCGGAATTTTTAGCTTATTCGATAGATAATTAAAAAAAGCGAAAATTGATTGGAAGAATTTTTTGGTAGAATTTTTGCAATCGCATATTTTGCTTTTTCTAGCGTTCTGGAGAAAACCTTACGAAACGTTTCTGGTTAATTGTCAAGGTCATGTGGTCATTGCGAGAATTTTTATGTACCACTTCAACACTTGACGCATTTGACCACAAACGTTTTGTTGCTGGGTACATTATCAAATAGCAATGTGGGTGATGTGGCTGGCAGCAAGGTGAGCAAACGTTAAATGAAAATTAACTCTTAAACAACAATAATTTATGGTGGTCCTGAAAAGAATCGTTTTGTCGTGATGGTTGAGTAGTGCTGAGCTATTAGGGTGTGCAACACGGATGAGGCTGACGAGCTGTATGTTGTTTGGAACAAGGGTGACGCGCTTGGCTTAGATGGCCCACAGCGGCTTGCGACGAGCAAGTGAATCCGATCAGATCGATCTTTTTCATCCCAATTTCCGATTTTTCGGATCGATTTTTTGCTCCCGACTTGTCAAAAAAAATAGGTGTAAATTTTTTTTAAGTGTATTTACATCGAAAAAAATGATTTACTCTCACCCCAGACTGCGTGGTAAATGTAACGAACATAACGTCAACATCAGCATCGTTCCCTATGTTATTAGCTAGATTACTCAATGCTTTTTGTAGTAATATTTCACATTACGTTTAATTTCGATTAGTACAGTACTCTTTGCAATATTCCTCAAATACTTCTTTTGATATACAATCATTCATATAACAATTATTTTTGTTATATCATTGAAAACGACATTATTTAATTAATATTATAAAGGAAAGAAATTTTTGGGGTACTAACGTAAACAAGCGTATAAAAAATATCAAAAGATCGAACTACCAAAGAAAAAATGTTAAATTTAGCAGATTCGTAAAAAAATTTATAATCGATAAGCTTGTTATGAATTAAAATCCATCCGCTATTGAAAGAGTTATATGTGGTCAAAACCTGACCACTTTTCGTAATGCGGTTAGCTTTCGTTTTTTTTTGTTAAATTGCACCTCCAATATGTTGCCGAAAAACGTAACCTTACTTTAAAAAACCCACTTTTCAATCAAGTTACCGGGAACTATGCCAGGAGTCACTTAGTGAGAAAAAAAATCTGATAATTTATATCAAGCGAATACCGATAAAACTTTCAAATCAACGGATCGCGAAACAAGACGACCGTACTTCTTGCTAGGACGCAGTGGGGTGAAAAAATGTTTTTTTGTTTACTTATTTCACCGCCAAATTTTTATTTTGTTAGCTCAGCCGCAGCACAAATATCGGAAATCAGTTCCCTGAAAATGCTACTTCATGTATGCTGCAGTGCAGCAAACGTGGAGTAACAATTTTAATGTTGCACGTGTCGTAGAAGCTTATATTTGTGCACTTAATGTTTTGAGGTGGTTCCGAGCATAATACGCTGTACAGACTGGAGAGTTATAACATGTTATAACGGTTGTCAAATAATTGCAACACAGAAACCACCATCAAGATAGCGCTATAACATGTTATAACTCTGTAGTCTGAACGTACTATAAGGATGTCAGAGCGAATCACCTTAAAGATAAAATGATCAGGTCTTTAGCATACTTACAGATTTGATAGTTTTGAACAAGTTTCAAGAATATACCAACATTCTATATTAAAGTCATTGGATGTAAAAGATCATTTAAAAAAAAAAAAACTAGAAATCTTTAAAATTCAATATCTCCTAAGCAAAACATAGAGTTTTTTTTTCACGTTAAGTGATTTTTATATAAAAAGACTGCTGAATACTTTGACGTCATTTAAATAAAAAAGTGGGGGTCTTTAAAGATATTTGCTGTTAAAGTTTTCAAAAGAAAAAAAAAAACACAGGGTTGGCAACTTTGTAAAAAAGTTACGATCACAAAATGTGATTTTACGTTTGAAATGCTTCAAAAGGGGTAGCCAATGGCGGTTGTATCTTTATAGGCTTAAAAGGGGGCAGTCCCTAGAGCCGCGGTGTTGGTCGATTGGTGCAAAGCTGTGGTATTTTTAGTTTTGGTCTAAAATAAGTAGACCTACTAATTTTGGTTTAAATCGAAGAGGATCGGTGTATTTGCCCGGTCACTTGAGCTGGAATGATCCATATACATCCTAGAATTGAGAAGAAACTGCGCTATTTTCATTAATTTTGCAGTAACAGTTAATGTTTATAGGAAATTTCAAAATCTGTGAAGATGTTACATGTAATAAGACCTTAAGTTTGAAGAAAGTTGCAAATGGGGTTAAAATAATATCAAAAATAAAATTTATATTATTTATTTCTGATTGAAATCTTGTACAAAGTTGTCGGTCCGTCGATGTCAGCTGGAGGAAGGGGTTGTTGTTCCATTTGTTTGAAGCAACTTTGCTCATGAATAATATGGTCTATCTTTAATGGAAAACCCTTAACATACTTTTTGTTTGTTTTACTTTTCACATATTTCATATTTCATTTATTTTATCATGAATGATGCATTCCAGGCCCATTCAGAACTTTCTATGTCAGGCAATTTGCTGAAGATTGGTATCTCTTTTTGTGAGAAAGCAATAAAAGATGCGAAAATGCTAAATAAATGCAATGCTTAAATACTAGGCATAAAATTCCCAAAAAACTGTTTATGTAGTTTATGAATAGATCATCAGTCGTTTGATACTGTGTAAATTTGTACCTCAATATGTCTGAGTTTGCATTTAGATTTATGTAATTATCAGAAATTCAAAAAGAATAAATGCGATTTATCCCTACTCGTAATAAAATTGATAATAGAACTTCAATCTGATCATGTTGTTCCTTTTTAAAGCTGTACGAACATAGTCCAGTAGTATATCTTACCAATCTTGAACGGAATTGAAGCTTTCTTCATTTGTAATATCATACATCAGGATAAATCCCATCGCACCTCGGTAGTAAGCAGTGGTTATTGTGCGGTACCTCTCCTGTCCAGCAGTGTCCTACATTTGGGAGATGATAAATATTTTTGTAACAAATTACCAGAAAATTATGCATTTGACTTACCCAAATTTGTAGCTTAACACGTTTTTCATGTCGAAAGACCGTTTTCACCTTGAAATCAATCCCAACCGTGGAAACGAAGGCAGACGTAAACGAATCATCAGCATATCGGAATAGGAAACTCGTCTTTCCCACACTGGAATTACCAATGATGAGAAGCTTGAACATATAGTCAAAGTTCTGATCGGAAGCATCTTTTTGCCACTTTGGATCTCCGGCGGCCATCTGCTATTTCAGAAAAAAAAATCATTAATTAAAAACGGCATTATTTAAAAGTCACAATCACACATTATTGTTCAAACAATATAGAAGAAAATTCACTGGCATCCAATCACTCAATGTTAGGTAAAAATTATTTCTCAAACGTTTAGAAAAATGGCCACAGTTGTTGATCACAATGTACGATAACGTCGCTCGAAGGTTTTCCCGTATTGATAATAGAGCCAGCAATTTAGAATGAAAACCACAGTAAACCAATGCAACGTGCGAAATGAGCTCTTTGACTTGCTATCCACTACTCACCACTGCATAGTCAATGCAATGTAAGCAAGGTGTTCATATGTGTAGCGGAGGTGTTATCGCCATGTTTTCTTTTGTCGCACGAAACAAATTACCATTTGGAAAATGCAGGTCTAGAGTTAAAAACCGGTAGCAAAATTAATGTGCAGTTTTGAAGTTCATATAGGGGAAATGGCTCAAATGTTGGTTTTTGGATCTAAGATTGGACCCATCGCTAAAAATCTGCTATTTATCAATTTTATCTAGATGAACGCGTCATTGGGACGGCAGCAATGGATATTTTTGGTCGCTATTGAAAATTTAGTCGATTGCTGAATTTATGTATGGGCCCAAATTAGGAGCATTTAAGCCGACATTACATCTATTTCCCCTATTTCGTAAAAATTATGATTTTTTTTGAATAGTAGTCATTTCAGTAGTGGTCTTCTGACTCCAGTAAGTCACAACATAGCATAGCGGAGGTGGTGGGTTGGATCTCGTTTAAGGAATGTCGCGACTTTGAGCATACAAAATCTGCCAATCTTTCTAAAAGCTACAATTTAGTACCAACTATTCAAGATACATGGGTGATATCTGTTATTTGCAGCTAGTTTTCGATATTGTGAATTTATTGGTGATCATTAGGAGGAATCTCAAAATTTTAATTTTTTGTCAAATGGTTATCTGTACGAACAAATTAAAGCCTTTTTGAGATTTGAACTACATTCCGATACGATTGATATTACATCCAAGAGCGAAGTCTGGTTTTTCGTCCGATCAATTTTGCACGAAAGTGAATGTCTTTTTCAACATACGTTTGCTAAAATAAAGTACATAATTATTTGAAACAGTAATTTTTGACAGCTGATTTCATGCAGAGCTCGTTTATGAGCCCTGGGATCAAATGGGTGAAATGTTTTGAAAGTAAAACCATTTTTCTCAACTTTCAAGCATTGGAAAACTATTTTTGTTTGTTTATTTGAACATTGCGATCACTATTTTATGGCAGTATAAGTTTTTGAAAGCTAAGAATTAGGGTACATGACCCTGACCTGGGTCTAATAAGTAGCCATCAATTATAATTTAAATCATATCACAACAAACAATTGGTCAGCGTTAAGTCTAAGTCTAAGGGGACTAAGCAGGAAAATTTAAATATAGAGATAATGATAGCATTAGATCAAACATTTCTTCAGCTACATTTCACTTTTGTAAGATTTCGTAAATGTTACTCACAGCAAGGCAAAACAGCCAAACACGTTGTCCCATTACATAAGACACAATGCTACTCAGCAAACTTTAAATTTGGTTTTCTCTTAATACAAATAATCACTTAGTCCGGTCTGACTTAACACCGACCAAGCAATTCCACTGTCAACATACGAACTAATAAAAGCTTTCAAATCCGGAACTGGTGAAGGGTCTTTTGTTTTTTTTTAAACTTCATTAGAGTGATTTTTAGCCGTTGGCTAGTTCATCTCTAAAGGGTCGAAGGGTCGACTGAATCGTTTAATATTGAATTGAAATGGATATGCAGTCTTTAATAATTCTAAACGAGGTTTTATTTACCCGACGTTTCGATACGGAGATTGTGTTTTCTACAGTTCGGGTTGTAAAAACTTAGGATTATTAAAGACTTTGTAGCCGTTTCAATATACCCATGCTCTATAAACAGTTACTAAAATTTCAATTTTCAACTTGATTTCTTCTCTCTCTATCTTTCTCTCTCTCTCTATCACCGTGCAGCAGCAGTATTATTAATATCTACCTAATGTATCGCTCAATGATGATTACAATTTTTAACTAAATGGTTTTTTTTAATCTTATTTTCTAAAGAATTTTAATCGGATTAAGGTCATTCAAAATCAAGGATATAACAAAATCTTAAAGCTTGAAATGTTTGTCGTTGTGCTTAATGACATCCATCCTAGTGATATTTGGCGTGTTCCATCGCATAATAAAACAAATGTTCTATTGGTTTTTAATCAAATTTGGAATAAATAACTGCATGAATTGATTCTTTCCTACCATTGGCAAAATAGATGTTGAAATTGGACTGGTTATTACCGTAAACTACAAAACTGCCTGAATTGTATATTCTCGATGTCAAGTAAATTTAAAAACTTGTCTAAGTTTTAGTTAAGGGCCGTAAATAGAAGCATAGGCCAAAATTACATCTCGTTTCCCTATATTTTTTTTGAAAATTTGTGAAAATTCTATCCAATTTGGGTGTTGATTCTTGAATTGAAAGTTATTGATTTCTTCAAAACGGCGATCGTTTCATGGTTGTTTTTTTTTATATAAATATTTTATCAATGGCGGTAAAGAATTTGCAATTTGTAAGAATATTCAGACATAGTTTTGTTAAAACTTTTGATAAAGTTAAGATAAAATAAAATTGTTATTACAAAATTGCTACCTGAGTAATAAAAAAAAAAGTTCTATTTTAACTTTAAAACTTCTATTTTAAATTTAAATTGTATGTGGTATTAATTTATTGTTTAGCTTGCCATGTTTTACAGAAGACTGAAAGTTTTGGTGAGGAAATTCTGAAAACATTATCAAACAACAACATCTACACACAGCAAAAAATAAATTTTATTATTACATCCAAGAGAATGCACTTTAATCACGTCGAAAATTTCATTTGATTTTTATGGTCACAAAAATAAACAAATTCAGTAAAAGCAGCGTAATTCAGTTTATGCTCTGTATTAATGATAATTTTGTCCTTTTTTGCAAGTAATATTACACCATATTTGCATCCACCTTGATGTGATATTAAAATTATTTTTTTGCTGTGTTGAATTTTTAATAACTATGAGAGTGGTTGGTAGGTTGTCTATATTAAGAAAATGTTCAGCCACACTATGAGAGTAAATTTTTTTTATTTGTTTTATTCGTTTTCTTCCATTCCTTATGGTGATACGATACAGCGTCCACAAATCACCGATAGGATGACTGACTTGCATTGCACTGCCAGGGAGTATGGATGCGAGACAAACGGTCGAAAGACAAAAATTTGAATGACAAAAGGTCTAACGACAAACGTTCGATGGTACGTTTGGTTTGCTTTCGTTCAATGAGGGTCGTTTAAATCGGTTTACAAGTTTATTACAAATTCTATAGTTTTTATTTCCGTAGTTGCACTGACACTGAAATTCTCGTTCTTTCATATAACCATTTGATGATAAGTATTTAGTATTCAACGTAACGTCGTTTTAAGTCTGTCAAGTATTCTTTCTCCTATTTGTCATCTGGGCAAGTGGGCTTCACAACAAATTGTATCACCATACGCCTTTTTGTCTCACTTTGAATCATTCCGCGATTTTGTCCAACCCCTTCTTATTATTTGACCTTTTGTACTCCTTCTCATCATGTAACCTTTTGTCTCTCTTTGATTAATTCGACCTTTTGATCATTTGACCTTTTGTCCCTCTTCTCATCATTCGACTTTTTGTCCATGCGACCTTTTATACCATCGTCTTTTTGTCCCTTTGACCAGGTGTCATTCGATGTTTTGTCATTTGACATTTTGTCATTCGACATTTTGTCAATCGAACTTTTGTCTTTCAACCTTATGTCATACAATCCAATCTAGGGAGTATACCTCGGAGACTATTGCGATTTCAAACATACAATTTGGTTCTCCATATTTCCTGCGTCGTAGCAAACATTAGGAAGCAGTTTGTATCTTTTCTGGAAGCTGATATTTATACTCCAGAAAATACGAAGTGGCACCAGAGCAAATGGAAGCCGTATCAGCTTAAATCAAAACAAACGGTTCAACATGTAAATATCGAACAGATTTACATTTAACAAGACGAACAGTACCTGTACCCCTTCCCTTCTCAGTAGACACGAGTAGACATTTCCGAAACCCCTCTCCCATTCACTGTCTATGTAGTTTATGCACTGCCTCTGAGCAGCAAAAGAAGGTCGAGTGGTGAATGAGACCATACGGTACGGGTTGATCTATTAGATCAAATAACTGAAATCGATTATGATTTGGAGATCCTTAAAAATCGATTGAGATGCATTGCAAAAACAACTCTGTTTTAGATAATATGTCATGTTTTTCAGTAATTGATATGACTTCTTTTGGGTAAAAACCATAATACTGCAACAAATGCTGGGGTATATCACTTATTCATGTTAATTAACAAATACAGTATGTTATTTGATATATGTTAACGTACATTATCTAGTGCCCAATTAATGTGCTCTTGATTGTCTAAAGCTTTGAAAGCTGAAATTAGGTTAACAAATATTGTTTACCTTTGAACTCTCAAAACCGGATGTTACAACCACCGACACAAAAGCAATTTTAAGAAGGAAAACATCGATAGGCATCACATTGAAATGTATCTTTTTCATCTCACTGTGACTCCCGTGAAAGCCATTTGAAAAGGTTTGAAGAAGTGGACGACAGCATTGTAACGTTATTATTCAACATCTCAACGCTCTGGGCTTGATGGATCATTAGAATGCGGCCAAAGCTTATAAAGGCAAGCACGGAACGGGTGTCTTAGGTCAGAAACCTCAGGTTGTTCTGGTTTGGCACATCGTGCCACTGACGTTGGTGAAAGTGTTTCCATAAGAATCAGAGTGAAAGTGAAATGAACAAACCAAATCTTTATCACCGAGCTAACGGTGTTCAACGAAGAGATGCGAAGGAAATTCTCATCGAACATGGTCATCTTCTTCGGTGGAAAGAAAACAACAAAGATTCACTGTTGGACATTGGCTGTGGCAGTGGTGATGTGTTGATTGATTTCGTCGTTCCAATGATGCCACAGAAGTATGCACGCATTCTCGCAACAGATATCTCAGAACAGATGGTTCGATTTGCTAGAACAGTACATTCCGGCAGGAAGAATATATATTTTGATACTTTGGATATTGGAGGAGACGTATCACGATTTGTGAAAAAGTGGGGATGTTTCGATCACATAACTTCTTTCTATTGCCTGCATTGGGTTAGGTACCAAAGGTTAGTCAAAGTTATGACACGGTATTCATTATCACAATTATTTCCAATAACATCTTAACGATTATCTGCTATGAAAATAAACAGCAAGTGCCATGTATGCATGTTTTTTTTTTAAATATTCAATCATGAATGCATAACATTTTTGGTTGAAACTTGTTAGTTCATATAGCATTTCTTACACATTATGGTATGGAGTATTAATCTATGTAATATTAAAACTAACAGCGTAATATATGTATTATTTTTTTTTTAAACTGCCTATCAACTAATTTGTTCTACCGTTCAATAAGAAATTAAAATTAACGAAGTAAATGTAACGAAGATTGATTTCATTACAGTTCTGCTTTTTCCAACATTTATAATCTGCTTAACCCGGATGGTGATTGCCTGTTGGTATTTCTAGCGAGAAACCCAATTTTTGACATTTATGATCAGCTATCACGTTCAACCAAGTGGAGTAAGTATATGACAGACGTGGATAAGTATATTTCACCCTACCAGTACTGTGAAAACCCAGCCGGCGAAATCGAAGAAATTCTGTCCTCTGTTGGATTTGCCAAGTACAAAATCCATATATCCGACAAAAACTATGTGTACGAAGGAATCGACAACTTGAAAAGTGAGTCACGATTAATACGGAACGTTTCACAATTGAAAGTGCGAGCTGACTACAATGGTTTTTCTATCTTTGCAGAGGCTGTCCAAGCTGTCAATCCGTTCAGTGAACGGATGCCATTGAACTTGCAAGAGAGTTTTCTAAACGATTACATAAGCGTTGTTCGTAAAATGTCTTTGAGCGAGAACTGCAGTGGCGTTGAAAATGATTACAAATTTATTACTCCCTACAAGTTAGTGGTGGTCTATGCGGTGAAATAGGAAAACTGTAAAAATCTTCTTTGAGTGTTACTGTAAGTGCTATTTTGGTTTGCTATTTTTTTAAATCGATAAATTCAATCAAAATTTGGAATCTATGAAAACAGGGCTCAGGAATTTCAATATAAAATACTATTATAAATGAAATACAGAATTGCTTTAATTTTAATCAAATACGATGTTTGTTTTCTGTTTATAATGTCCTTTTCTTGGAGGGCAGGGTTTCGTCTAACGGTTCAATGGAATGTTATCTGTGAGTAGAAAATGTTAGATAAACTTATTTATTTTCATTTTTTTTTATCTCATACACAACAAAAACTGGTCAGAAAAATCAACCATATTAATATTAAAGTCTAGGAACTCAGCCTTAAAAAAAAACTGAACAGTAACCTGTTCCAAACCCACGGTTAGAACATCCCCAAATACCATCCATTGGTCGTAGGAATTAAGGAGATTGTTTTTTTTTTTTTTTTTCTTTTGTTTTGTTTTTTTCCGTCGATCTTGTTTTCCGTGCTGAGCACCAATGATACCGACGTGCCAGGAAGGCAGCTCCCACACCTGGACCCTACCTATCGACCCATCAACTCATGAACCGGGGACCAACGGCTTTACTTCCCATCCGAAGGAAGGCGTGATCAGAGATGTTATGCCTCAGAACATCCCGGCGGCGCCGACTGGGATTGAACCCAGGCCTGCTGGGGTGAGAGGTAATCACGCTTACCACTACACCACCGGCGTCGTTCCCTAAGATTGTTCTCGGTGGTTGAGTGGTAACCCGAGCAAAGTCTGCGATCAAATTGAAAACTAAATTTGATATTGTGATTTCGCTGCTAATGATTAAACAGGTTGCTGTCGTTTTGGTCGTTTTAACGGTTATAATATCAAAATTGAGAGCAAAAAAATCTTCCTGTGACATCACATTGAAAACTATTTCTGCTATCAGTGAGAGCAAACTGAAAACTCAATTTAATGTCCATTTTTCCTGTTGTTAACAAAACAAGTATTCAATTTGATGTTATGCTAAGGAAATGAAAACAAACCTGCAACAACATATTTCTGAAGAGCAAATGTACAGTAAAATGAAAACAACATTTTACAACAAAGTATGATTTCAGTTTGATGTTGATTTCAAAACTTGATTTCGATTTGCTGATATTTTGATGCTGGACTTTGCTCGGGAAGCGTGGCTTTTTCTCTCTCAGCGATTTTGAGTTCAATCCCAGGCGAAGTCGTTGGGATTTTATGAGGAAAAACATCTCTGGTCACGTCTTCTTGCGGAGGGGAAGTAAAGCCGTTGGTCCCGGCCTTTGTACTGATGGTTTCAGTATTTAAAGTCTGGGTTGAGTCGCCTTCCTGGCGTCGGTGATTACCACTTACGTGGTTGAACAGATGTTGACGGAAAATGAGTAAGGAAAAATGTGCCTGGTTTCTAAACAGAGGGGGCAATAAATCTACGATATTTCTTCACGGCTCTAATTCTTAATTTAAGCTAATCCCAGGATAAGATTTTTTGATGTTTCAATTCTGATTCCTCTAACAAAAAAATATCCCACAGTGTAAATTGTCCTACATTCTAAGCGTCAGAGTCCAGGTAAGAGTCAGAATCAGGTAAAATATTATTCAAGAGTAACAAAGTCTCTAGCATTTGATTTCTATTAAGTTCGTAATCTTCATTATTCTTTTAAAAATCCGAACTGTGGATAAATGATAAAATTGTGGATATTTTTGTTTGTGGCAGAACCGCTCACATTTATTCATCCCGTTGTTACTTATCAATGTTAATTTCTTTGTCCACCATATTTAATATTTGAATAGTATAATACCTTGTCATTGTACTTAAAAGACAAAAAAAAAAGAGAAACATCATTCAGATTTTGTAAAATAGTGTTGAAAAACAAATTGGTTACAAATCAAAGCACAAAGCACATGCAAAGACAGTCAATTCCATTAAACATTTCATTTAAAATGTTCAAATTAGCATCCTTTTTTCACTTTTATGATGAAATATTGATTTATTGTTTTGTTTTGAGTTGTGATCAACGTGCAAAAAATCTCTTGACGGTTTTAATTTTAAATTATCAGGTATATTCTTGATAAACTATGATCAGTAAACACAACATTTGTTAGAAGGGTCTTGAAATAATTGTTATGATATAATTTACTTGTATAGTATTGGCAAAGTTTTTAACTATTTTGCTATCCTGCGGAATATACTTTGGTGCCATATTTAAAACTGTTAGTCAAATCATGACAGTAGACAATTTAGTTTAGTTGACTGCCGACCATGTCTCTAAAATTGGTGCACACAGAGCAAACGTGGTAGCGACGGAATTAACATATATGATAATATACATTATTATGTATGGCGAGCCATAAAACCCGAATCCTATTTGCAGTGGTTTTTGTAGAATCGTAATTTTTTTTTTCATTGTTTCCTATCTAGTGTAAAGGCAGCTCTTATGCAACTTTTTCTTAGAACGAACATGTTGATTAAGTTTACCATTTGAGCAGTAGTTCAATAGTTAATGTTAACACTTATTGCCTTGATTTCACTGCATTAATTTACTTGCATCTTCTGATGTTTGCTGCAAGTTAGGCAGCTTCCAAATTTAGAGTTTTCAATTTGGAAAATCACTTAATCGGAACTGAAACTAATGCACCCGTACTTCCCCACAAGTTGCAAGCTGTGCCTTGTTTATTCTGCGTCACATAATTGAGATACGTGTCGTGTATAATATACTGGTATTATCGATTTTTGTGCCTAGCATCGTTTTCTTTACTCTCGAAGATATGAAATGTATCGAGCACAAATCATCGTCACTTCACAAGCAGCTCAATTAACTTGTGCATATTCAGGAAAATTCCAAGAAGTGATCAATAGGATGCTCATCAAGCTGTGCAAAGTGTTCCAATTTGCTCGACCCTCTGCCTAAGCTTGATAAAATGGCTTGTTCTCGTGGAAAATATAATGCGTCCCTGCCAGTGTTTAAAGCTTTTATCCAAATATATTTGATTTTACTTACATTAGGGTGAATTGTCTATGTCCTGATAGCGATCTCGAAACTATTGGCAGCAAATTGGAGCTATAAATTCGACTTTAATTGATTTTTACAATGCACTTTCTTCTCCTTAAAAGTTCTTCGATTTATTGTAATGAAGAGTAATTCCACCAACTCACAATAGGGATTCAATTTTCACCCACTCGTCACAATCAATTTCAATTCAAGTACACCAATTATTGAACAACACTGTAAACCTCTGACACTTGTTACTAAATTTGCACAACACTGGGATCACATTTAATTATATTTTTGAAAAATTCCTTTGCTGAAATGGACACGAGCTGTGACGAATGGTTAGAGCTCTTATCGAAGAACCTATAAGAAAATGCAAAAGCTCTGTTCATTCATGTTTCCATTTGTGCGGGGGAGAGTTAAGCAGCATGTGGATGTGAGCAAGGAGAGAGTTACAATGTTCGAAAGCAAAGAAGAATAAGTTGTATAACATGGCGAAAATAAAGATAGGCAACTGTCAAACTTTTATAGCTAAAAAACGTTACTTTGTTCTACTATGTCTACAACAAGACAAGTTTCAATGAATGACATCCAAGCAGAATAAATTCATATTTTTATCTCCATTAGTTGCAAATACATTGTTTTTACCTTTTTAACAGAAAATATCACGATCTATTCAGAAACACTTTCCCTGTACCTTTCATGTGACATTACTTGTCTTTAGCACGAAATCCATTTATTGATCACATACAAGTAAAGTTCGAAAATTTTTACTCATGCGCATTACACTCGATTCGTGGAAATGTGTTGATAAGGATGTACCATATAATTTTCCGCGGGGTTGTGGCATTATTAGGGACACAAACCATTTGGAAAAAAGTTCATCCTCAACCTGTGTCACCTATTCAATGATGCCCTAGAATTAAATGGCTACTCAAAGATCGATTATTCACGCTAGCCAAACTGTAAATAAATCTAAGGGATAATGACATCTCGAGTAAAGTTTTATACCAAATTGATAATAAGTTCTGATAGCCGGTTATCAAGGTTTGGTAACTGAATATGTTATCATTGTGGTTGAATAAACAGTTAACATAACACAAAATGAAAATCAATTCATATTTGATTATTTTGTGCTCTCTTAAGTTTAAGTCTATAATATACTTATTCCCTAACACATCTGTCTTTCCGGCTGGGCTAAGGTAGCCTAAAGCCAGGGCACTCAGTTTGCGGAGCCCGAGACATTCATCATAACATTCTCAGAAACAAGTATCAATCGTTGACTAGATATATTTCTCCTTGTGTGGATCACTGAAGTTATAAATTTTGAAACAACAAATCATACAAGGAAACAGCAAAAATAAAGGTACACCAGAGCAAGTGGGAATACGGAGTAAATGGGAACGGTCGTACATTAATAGTACACGAGTCCCAGCAGCCACGGTATTTTGCAGCAAGTGAGACATATCAACGGATGAGTTTGGTAAAGGGGATGATCAACCCGATTCGTACCTTCCTCAAAATTGTCCTTGCTCGCTTTCTACTCTATAAAAATAATTTTCACACTGCCGTACTCTAACGGAACTATCAACTCTATACTTTCATCTCCTCATCTATCGTATAAAAATGACCAATGAAATTAGCGTCTTAACTAACACACTGAGAAATACCTAATTTTACACGTGACGGAATCCATCTTTGATGCAAAGGCTGAGACGTATACAAAAAAGACATGTAAAATTAAGTGCACCGAGCCTGAAAAATTCGAAAGTACGTTTGATTGAGCTGAATTTCGCGTCTATTATGGTTAAATTTTTTGTCAAAATTGACGCTCGTATATGTCAGTCTCAGAGCACCTAAATTTTCATCAATTTTTCTAAGTGTGAAGTTTTGAGGTTCTAAACCCATATGTTTTGAAGATTTTGTAGCTTAAACAACATATCAGTGCCAACATTTCAAAGGGGCGTAATTGCATTTGTAAACAATGGCTTTAGCCGTCGATTTCCCGCGAATAAAAGCTCACTCATGAAAAATAATGACAGCAGAAGGTAGAGGAATGTTTTCTCTACCAGCTCGCATTGTAATTTTGTAGAGGTATAATTTCATTCGCGAGAAATTGACGGCTAAAGTTCATTCGCGAGAAATTGACGGCTAAAGTCATTGTTTACAAAAGCAATTACGCCCCTTTGAAATGTTGGCACTGATATATCTCTGAAACAGATTGTAAGTATAAATTGTTGAATTCAAATTTAAATTAAAGATATCGAAATTTAATCAATGATCATAATTTTAAGATTATGATAATATTGCAGATCTTTTCAAAACTGTAATTTCATAAAAATTCAAGTACACGAATATTAATTTTTTTTAATAATTATACTATAAATATGCCTGAAAATATTCGACCAAATCTTTTTCAATATAAACAAATATCGAATAACGAAAAGTTTGGAGCTCATAGACCAGCTTTGAATCTCCAGAACATCAACATAGAATCGTTATGAAAGATCTTGGGAAATTTACCTAGATTATCGTACTAGCTAACAACTAAGATCACGACGTTTTAAGCTAGTTACTTGTCGAAGATCTTTCTATTGGGCTATTTTTTTTTTATTTGAAAAAGAGGTAGTTGAGGAGGTTGAACTCATTCGGTGTCAATTTATTATTCACTCGTACTTTATAAGGATAAGAGCTTATTCGGTGTTTTTTTTCTCTAATTTTATCAAAAACCACACACACAATAGAACGGAAATTTTATTTAATGTTCTGAACATCCACTCAATCCTGGAGTGTTATTTCTCGACAAAAATAGCAAAATCACCAGTCTTCCTTATAGAAAATGTAAAAACATGTCCTTAATAATTAAACTCATCATTAATTAATTTCCATTCATTTCTATTAGCTGGAGCCATTATTTCTATTAGCTGGAGTATTTTTGAATTCTTTCTGGTCAACCTGCAGTCTTGAAAGAATTATTTAAGGGACTTAATTTGTGTTTCCTTACATTTGAAGATCTTCAGAACCTGAATAACTAGAAGTCATGATAAAATATCCAAAGAAATTTACTCATATCTTCGTCTATCTGGAGATCTTTTGAATATTACTGCAAAACTCGCTAAAGTTTTACAAAAATTTCCAAATTCCATATATTTTTTCAACACTCTTAATTCTACAATTACTTCTGGAAAAAACCCCATCATACATTTCCATCTACAAATATTCTTGAACATCTGGAAAGTTCTTTGAAATTTAAGGAAGATACAAAAACTTCCAAAAAGTTCATTGGGTTTTTTTGAAGAAAACTGCAATGAAGTTCTTAAACTGAAGCGAGGATCCTTGAAGATCTTCTAACTTTGCTGAACTATTTTTAGATCTTCAACAAAATTCCCTGTACTTATGTGAAGTTTTATGAAGCACTTAAAATACTTTGAAATTTCTAAAACTTCTATAAAGTTTACTGTATTACTACGTTTCTCATTGATTTTCCGCGAAGTTCCGCGAATGGAATTTCTTAAACTTGTACGTAGTACCCTGATATATTACAAGCTCATGAGGCTTCAAAAAAAAAAGTTTCTTGAAATCATATGAAGATCCTCGAACAACAATGAGGTTACCTGAAATTAAATAATGTTTAACTTCTACGAAGATCCGAAAACTTAAAATGATTTCTCTCTTCTACGCAGTTTCTGAATGAGCTCCTCTCGTTCTACGTTTTTTTTCTGAAGCTCTACTTGGAAGTCCTTAAAGTTTTGCAAAGTTCCCAGATGTATAAGAAAAATCTCTGAACTCTTGGCCAATTTGTAGAGCCTGCAGATGTCTTATTAGGCTATCGATTAAATGTCGATATAAAGGGTGATACGGTCAAAATTTGGTCAAGGGAAAACGCGTGTAAATCGGTGAAATCGTTTATTTAAAAAATCAAATTAAATTTCTTTTTCAAGTTCAATTAGTATAAAATTCAGGAAAAATATTCAGTTAGGCTTCCGCTTTTCCAAATCCGAATTGCCGGGCCTTACGCTTGACCCCTGCCATCAGATTTTGTACAGCCACCTTGTCCACCTTCTTCGCCGCAGAAAGCCAGTTTGCCTTGAACTGCTGCTCGCCCTTAGCAGTTTTTTTGGTCTTCTTTAGGTTCCGCTTGACAATAGCCCAGTATTTCTCAATTGGGCGGAGCCCTGGCGTGTTGGGAGGGTTCTTGTCCTTGGGAACCACCTGCACGTTGTTGGCGGCGTACCACTCCATGGCCTTTTTACCGTAATGGCAAGATGCCAAATCCGGCCAAAACAGTACGGAACAACCGTGTTTCTTCAGGAAAGACAGCAGACGTTTATTCAAACACTCTTTCACGTAAATTTCTTGGTTGACAGTCCCGGAAGCTATGAAAATGCTGCTTTTCAAGCCACATGTACAGATGGCTTGCCAAACCAGATATTTCTTTGCGAACTTTGACAGTTTCATGTGCTTGAAAACATCTGCTACCTTTCCCCTTCCTTTTGCCGTATAAAACTCCTGTCCCGGAAGCTGCTTGTAGTCGGCTTTGACGTAGGTTTCGTCGTCCATTACCACGCAGTCAAACTTCGTCAGCATCGTCGTGTACAGCCTCCGGGATCGCGCTTTGGTCGTCGTATTTTGTTTATCATCGCGATTTGGAGTCACTACCTTCTTGTAAGTCGATAGTCCGGCTCGTTTTTTGGCTCGATGCACGTTTGTAGACGATACACCCAGCTTATTTGCGGCATCTCGGAGAGAGAGGTTAGGGTTTCGCTTGAAACTACCGGCAACTCTCTTTGTCGTCTCAGCGGCTTCCGGTTTTCGATTTCCCCCCGATCCAGACTTCCTGGCTGTCGACAAACGTTCCCCAAACACTTTAATTACATTTGTAACGGTTGATTTGGCAACTTTTAGCGATTTTGCCAACTTTGCGTGCGAGTAGCTCGGATTTTCGCGATGCGCGAGCAAAATTTTGATACGCTGCTCTTCTTGCTTGGACGGCATTTTGACAACTGAAGAGTGAATTCCAAAATCAAAATAGGAGCAACATTCTACACACACACACCTTCAAAATGAGGGGTGTTCAGGTTTTTTAAATGCAAAATTGAAAGAAATACGTCAAGTTGATATTGACCAAATTTTGACCGTATCACCCTTTAACATAAATTCTCGACATTGTTTCGTCTATTGTAGAACATTAAGAAAAGTAGACATTCATAAAAATCAATAAAAATTAAAGAACAACTTCGAAACTGCTTGAAAAAATACCGGTGTAAAAAAAAGTAAGAGGTTATATCCAGGACACGATTACGAAAGGTAGTTTTGATGTCACAGCAAAAGTATGGTAAATATTAAATTGATTTCTTAACTCGTAATCAACATTGACGTAGCTAATGGGGTGCCAAGGGGACCAGCCCCCCCAGAACTGTGGGCGGTTTTTTTTTTATTCACCAGTATTTTGTCAAGTTTGTCAAGTTCGATGTTACTTTTTTTTAAAGTCCTATATGTTGACTACTTTTCTAATGACTACAAGAAGCAATTTTGAGAAATTATTTTATATCGATATTTAATCGATGGCATGATAAGACGTCTTCAGGCTCTACAAATTGGCTAGGAATTTTTTTTTAACTTCTGGAAACTTCGTAAAACTTCAAGGACTTCTAAGAAATTCAGGGACCATCATAGAAATTGAAGAAACTTATTAGAAATTGTGGGACCTTCATAGATCTACAGAAAAATTCATAGAAACAAGGAACTTGAAAAAGTTCTGAAAACTGCGTAGAAATGGAAAATGTATTTAAATTTGAGAAGCTTGGTAAAAGTTAAAAGAACATTATTTTATTTCAGGGAAGCTCATGATTGATCGGGAATCTCTATATATTTTCAGGGCACTTTTTTGATGCCTCATGGACTTGGAATAGTTGTGGAAATTACGTATAAATTAAAAAAATTTGTCACCGAAAATCAACGAGAAACGTAGAAGTACAGCAAACTTTGACTTTTGCAAATTTCGTAGCATTTTGTAGAGCTGCGTAAAACTTCATATAAGTGTAAAAAAGTTTGAAAAATCAGGGAATTTTGAAAAAGATCTAAAGATAGTTTAATAAACTTCTAAGAATGTCTAGGGATAGGGAACTTCGTTGCAGTTTGTCAGAGATCTTAATTCGAAAAAGCTCTATTGTCTTCTTGGATGTTTTGGGAACTTCGTTAAATTTCAAGAAACTTTCCAGATGTTAAAGAATATTTGTAGATGATAGGTGCCTTTCCAGAAGTGCATGTTCAGAGCTCTTCTTAGAATTAAGTGGGATTGAAAAAATATGGAAATTTACTAAAACTTAAGTGACTTTTGTAGATGTTCAGGAAACGTTGCATAAGTCACATGATATTCTTTAAGACATCCTTCTCAGACTGCAGGAAATATTCAAAAGATATCCATATAGACGAAGATATTAGTAAAGTTTTCTGGATATTTTACTAAAACTTCAGGTTGATAATGTTCTGAGGATCTCCAACTGATTAAGTTTTTTCAAGGCTGGATATTGTTCAGGAAGTACCGTAATTTGGACGCAAATTGATCATTATGCGTTGCACTATTAATTGTCACGTACAGCATTGTCGGTGATAGATATCAAGAGAAATCTTAAAAGTATATCATAATGAGACTCCAATGATTGCCTTGATGTGTTTTTCATAGCAAAAAAAAGTTTATTGCATAAATATCAATTTTATAGAGCTGACGTTAAGTAGCATACAATATCAACCTCCAAACAAACGATCAAAGGACTGCACCGATTGATGTCAATACCATTCAAGTAGCATTTTTTACTAAACTAAGTGTCAATGAATTCGAATTATTTAATAAATTGCGAGAAAATGTTTCAAATATCAAGAAATCCAGGGTTTTTCGCAAAATTTCCAGTGATTTTGAATGAAATTGCCTACAATGTACATTTAAGACATCTTTTTTTTGCGTTTAGCTGAAAATACTTTTCACACAAGGGTTTAAGCATCTGCATCACATTCAGGAAATCCACATTTAATAAGAACAATTACTAGAAATGCACTAGAAAGCCATTTGAGGGATTTATCACATTTACCTCATATCGATATTTTAAAATTTATGATATAAAAAATTTCCTACAAATTAACAAAACATCCAATATTATAAGAAATCATGCAGGAGGATTGAGCTCTCATAGCTACTGATTTAAATACCATTAGTTTTTCAATTTAGTTTATTGAACAAATTTATTTAAGCTATTTAAGTTATGTAGTGATTAATTTGTCCCCGGATTACGGTATTCAATAGTTTTTCAGCTAATTGAAACTGTTGGAATCTTGAATGATGAATCTAGATTTTATGGACATGTTTGTATTCTCTTTAGGGAAGACCCATGCCTTGGTCATTTAGCTATATTGTCAAGAATTAGCACTCCAGCAGCTGAAGTCCGGGCACATGAAATGGGAAATTTCTACACATACCTAGTATGTATAAATTCCTTTCATTTCGATGAAATGTATACCCGGATTTAAGCTGCAGGATAATTTGAATGAATGAAATCGGTGATAATTTTAACTATCATAGCAACAGCTGCACATTCGTGCAATTTTCAATAGCAATTTTGAAAAGTCTTAATTTTAACAAATTTGTAGAAAAATTTCCTATCGATTGGTGTATTAAGAATTAAAATCCATCATCTTTGGATCAAAATGAGACCATCAAATTTGATGTCCGAAATTGCACCCCTAATGTTGCCTTAAACATACATGGAATTTTAGATTTATACTCATGGCAACTGACATCCGACAAGTCTCGCGTCACTTTTCAAATAGACCAATCTACATTGATCGATTCTATTCATTGACTTTCGTTGATAACTTGGCTACATTCATATTTCGGGCTAATTGTTCTACACAGTCTATTAACAGAAACTAGTATTAAGCGTATTAATGATAATAACAGCCGAGTTATTAACGAAAGAGAGTGTCGATAAATATAGATTGGTCTATTTGAAAGCTAACGCGAGAAGTCTCTAGAAAATACTGTTTAACAAATTAATGGTGGTTCTGAAAAGAACCGTTTTGTCGTGATGGTTGAGTAATGCTCAGCTATTAAGGTGTCTTACACAGAGGCTGGCGAGCTGTATGTTGTTTGGAACGATGACGCGCTTGACATAGATGGCCTACAGTGGCTCACGACGAGCAACTGAAATCCGGTCAGTAGCGGTGCAACTTCTTACTCCTTCTTCGGTGAATGAACCGCTCCGTGGGGTGCAGCTCGTGCTTGCTGGCAGCATTTCGTCGTGTACTGGAAAACAATCTACAACGCCACGCGCTCAAAACACTGCTGATGATGACCACTGGACACCACCACTCACCACACACGGTGATTGATTGAACACCGTTCGAAGAGACCGGATTTAATTCGATTTTTAAATCTGTTTTAAGGAAAGCGCATTTCGCAGTCAATCGGTGATAATTTTCATTATTATAGCAACAGTTGCACATTCGTGCAATTTTCAATAGTGACTTTTGAAAATTGATAAAGTGTTTATTTGAGCAGATTCATAGATGACATTCAAATCGATTGGCTTGTTCAGAATTAATATCCGTCCGCTATTGACAGAGTTAAAAGTGGTCAAATCCTGTCTATTTTTCGTAACGCGGTCGATTTTGGTTTTTTGAAATTGCACCCCCAATATGTTGCCGAAAGACGTAACCTTAGGTCAAAAACACCTAAAATTCCTGAGGGTTGGGGCTTAGATAATTCTGGAGTGCGCCTTGGCACCCCCGTTGGCTTTGCCAATGACTGCAGGTTCATTGACTTGCTAGCCCCTAAACAAATATCTATTTTTGAAGAACTATTTTGGTATGTAAGCAGGTTCGTTTTTAATTGGCTCCATTATAAAACTGAAGGATGCATTGGAATGGAAACATTTTGACAGGGCTTACCCCTTTAAAAATGTAAACACGGCAGTTTCCTGCCTCCCACGCGTCGCTTTTGTTCACAAACTGAGTACACCTAAAACTTTTTTTAGGTGGTCTTATTTTTTCTATGTTTAAATAAAACCAACCCTGATGCAACTGGTGTCAAAAAATCAGAAAAATAAATCAAAGGAAAATTTGGTACCTACGGAAATTTACTTACTTAACCACAGAAAAAGAAAATTGGAGAAATTGGGTGTATATAATAGAACTGGAACTGGAAAACCTAGACCAAAACCACGTCTGGTCTCATGTCAAGGAGAGAGGTCAGGCAACGGGAAATTGTCGCTTCTAATTCTAGTGGTATTCCTGCCGCATGTGCAGAAAACGTGAGAACGAAAGAGTCGACTAGTTTCCTTATACCATTTCTCTTAGTACTCCAAATCACGGCCGACCCACGGACAGGCTTGTCTAAGGAAGCATAATTTGTTAATAGATGCGAAACACGTTGAATTTATTAAGTGATTGCGCTCAATTTTCACCTTTTTGCTAATTGTCCTGAATCACATTTAATTAGTGTAGGAAAAATCAAAGATGTCAAAATCTTTCAAACACGGCAGCTAGGATTTCTAAACGTTTTAGACCATTTATAAATGAACTACACACTTAGAAAAATTTACGTAAATTTAGGTGCTCTGAGAGTGACATATACCAGCGTCAATTTTGATATAAAATTGAGTCATAATAGACGCGAAATATAGCTCAATCAAACATGCACACTTAGAAATAATAAATTTTACACCTGACGGAGTCCATCTTTCATCGAAAGTACGTTTGATTGAGCTGAATTTTGCGTCTGTTATGATTCAATGTTATGTCAAAATTGACGCTCGTATATGTCAGTCTCAGAGCACCTAAATTTCCATCAAAATTATTAAGTGTGTCGTCATGATTTCCAGCTGTTATGCTATTTTATTCTTATACTTTAGCTGCTTCAATTCCTCCCAGTCACTAACAACGTTGTTCGAACATATGTGCAACGGGTCCTAGTACTAGCAAATTCTACCTACCTGTAAGCATATCGTGATCCTAGCAGTGCAACACTTTTCTCTCTTGATGCTCTCTTCTGCTACGAATCGCTCCCTATTTTCCTCTGAACCACCTTCGGCATAGGCATCATCGATAGGTGGTTAGTCGCAGGTTGGCGCGAGAAGTGACAGTTGTAAAAGTATATTTTCACGTTCTAGAGGGACGACTCATCGGTTGCTTGCGGGTGGCGAAAATCATCTGTGTGAAAATGTGATTTTCTACAAGCGTAGCACAAACTTGCTCTCTCTCGGATTCTCAGTGCCTCTCTTGGTTCGTCTAGCAGATAGACTTCCTTCCTGCTAAAATTGCAGCCTGGTTGGTCGTGCCGTTACGTTACGATTTCCCAATTTCATTTTCAGTCAGTTGGGATTGAGACGCGACGCCGTGCGAACGTATACAGACAGTGTCTGGTCGACGAGTAGACTTAAGAGAAAAGTTGAATTTAGTAGATTTAATTTTCTATTTTGTTACAAGAAACGTATTTTTTTTTCTTTTGAACTTAAGTCTATCCGTGATATTTCAGAAGGAGTTGTGCTAAAAATACAGTGCATCGATACAGAGCAGATAATCATGCTCTGGTGATTGCTGGTTTTGATTGCCGAATGAAGAAGGTGAAGTGGTGAAACCAAACGAGAATAAATGAAGTTCTAAATCAAATACTCTGGGCGTTGATGCATAGCTCGATTTTTAATAAGTTATTAAAAATCAGTTTATTTTTAATACAGCAGCTCGGGTATGTGCAACTGGCCGAGGAAAGAGATGAAGAGAATGATATTTGGCTCTGTATGCGGAAAATATGTGATGTGACTGTTGTTGAAAGGCAGAGACAAACAAATGGAATGTGACTGTTATTATTTTTTCTATCAATTTTAAATTTGTTTTGTGAGATAAAAAAGCAATAATGTTTTTGTAGTGGAATCGAAATGGATTGAAAGTTGATCTTTCCATTTTGATGGATAGTTTACTGTTGGCGTCTACAGCAGCAATTCCTATTGGACATTTATATTTAGTTTCGGCAACGAGTGAAAAGGTGTAATTTGGCGCAAATTCGATCTCAACGATTAAATCCTTCTAATTAAATGCCATCGATTCATGTATATGCAGTTGGACGTCACCATTCCCGGTGGTCACATTCTTGAAGTCCTCAAATGTTGTTGCAGCTACTTTGCTCCTGGCTACTTGGGATGATAATTAGCCTCACTATTTTAACTATAGGATTGCAACAAACACCCGAAAAAACATCATGTTATGAATACCCGAGAAAACACTTGTTATCGTAAGATGAGAAGGTAATTCTAATTATATATTTTTCTATTGCCACGGTCAACTAACTGAAGCGTGTGAGGATACCACCAGCATTTTCACGCTACGCTTTCTTCAAATTTTGCTCTACTCGTGATGAACGGCTTGAGCGGAAAATGGCAAAGAAGAGGACAGGAAAATCTCAGAAATACCGTGGCTAAATACACACAACCTTTTATTTTATTTTTATTTCCCAAATAATTTTAATATTCCCGCGCCGATTGCTCAATACGTTTTTACACACGTTGCGATAGAGTAAAAAGGCGACCCTTCCTCATTAGCAAGGCAAGATTGGCTTTGAAACGTAGGTTATTTTATTTTTTTTAGTTTTCATACTTCAACGCCTAAGCGTTACGTTGATGATGACCAACAAGTGGGCGAGTGTGTATGTGTCCTACAAAGCAGCGTGGACACATGTGCATATTTTGCGAATGTTTCGAAAATATAGGAAGTGATGAGTAATGTCATGTGTGTGGTGAGGAACGAATAGGTTGGCGCACCTACAGAATGAAAAATACGACAGAATGCAGATGAGGACTGTTTATAACGCTGCGTAACATGGAAAATGAAAATGTAGCTTTTACACGGAATACTTTTACATGTACAGCTCAGACGGAAGGAACATATAATTCCATTTGGCTATCAGCCGCTGACGTGACTTTGGAATATATTTTACCGTTTTCCCTCGAATCGTTCTAGAGATAAACGAAATCTGTCAAAACCACAAAACTCATCACTCTTCAACAAAAACAGGCAACCCTTTGTCAAACCCTTTGTGAAGAGTCGATCCAATCGAGCTGGATGCCTACATACGTAAGCGAGCATGATAGCTGATAGATTTATTCCAAATTGACTGACATTTTATTTTATCATTAGTGTCTGAGTTTTCTTAGCATCGGCAAAGAATAGGTTGGTACATTTTTTTTTATTTGTTTGTACAGGCTCAGTCAAATAAACTTTACAGAGCCGATATATTCTTTTTCTTCTACAATAAGAATCTAAAAACTAGAGTTAAGGGGGTTTAACCGATTACTCGCGGTCGTCTCGAGGTTAGGGAGTTTTACAATTTAAGGATGTGGAAAGGTTGAGAGGATTACGAATTTCATTTGTTTTAATATGGTAACTATTTCATAAACACTTACTTAAATCTAAAGAACTGATGATTTCAACATGAGATGAACATGAATACTACAAAAGGAATGTACACACACACACACTCTTTCTCGCAAACACATTCATCCTGACAAACATACCAAATTTATTAAGAAAACAAATTATCTATAACCTAAGGTTAATGAATTTCAAAAATTCATATTAGAGTGTCATATATTCCAAATCGCGCCCAGCCAAGATCGAACCGGAACATTGGGTTGTCTACCTCGAGCCCGAAGGGAATCATACAAATGTGATCTGACTCCACGATACTCCGCACAAGACCAAAGGATGTGATCAGCGTCCTGGTAACCTTGTCCACATTCACAGAGATTGCTGTCTCCCAACCCCACACGGAACAAGTGAGCGTTTAGACAATAGTGATTGGACATGAGACGAGACATCACGCGTATGAAGTATCGACCCAAGTCCAACCCTTTGAACCATGCAAACTTCGACAGCTCCCACACCTGGACCCTACCCAGTGATGGAAAAGTTCGCGAAAACTCACTATGACTCGCGAACTTTTCCCTTGGTGAACTTCGTGAAATATCACGTACTTTTCCAACACTGACCCTACCTATTGAACCATCAACCAGGCTTGCTTCCACTCACTTGCTATAAAAACATGATTTTCTGAATTTTAAAATCATTAGATTTTATAATCATATTTTGTACTTGTAAGATACAAGAAGAGGTTGAAAGGCAAGTGTTTGACACATGAAACCTGTCAAATTCGCTTTCAGATAGTCACAATCAGCGATTTTACGACTCGCGAGCGCTCACTCTGAGTGAACGCTCACGAATCGTGAGATCGCTGATTGTAACACTCTGGTAGCGAAATTGACAGGTTTTATGAGTCAAACACTTGCCTTTCAACCTCTTCTAGTATCTTACAAGTACAAAATATGATTATAAAATCTAATGATTTCAAAATTCAGGAAATCATTTTTTATAGCAAGTGAGTGGAAGCAACCCTGCCATCAACTCATGAACCGGGGACCAACGGCTTTACTTCCCTTCCGAAGGAAGGCGTGATCAGAGATGTTATGCATCAGAACATCCCGGCGTCGCCGACTGGGATTGAACCCAGGCCTGCTGAGGTGGGGTGAGAGGTAATCACGCTCACCACTACGCCACCCATGCCGCTTGCTTACAAAGATGGATGGTTGCATACAATATATGGAATATTTCAAGAAATGTGTCATAAATTTACACGATCTGTCGATAATAATGTGAACATGTATGATACATAAGGCTCCATTTATGTGCATTAATGTACTCACTTGCTATAAAAAAATGTTTGTCGGAATTACAAAATCATTAGATCTTATTATGTTATTTTGTATTTATAAGTTAAAATAAGAGGTTAAAAAGTATGTGATTGATACATGAAACCTGTCAATTTTGCTTTCAGAGTGTCATAATTAGTAATTTCATGATTCACTCAAAGTGAGCGCGTGACTATAAAAATTCTGAATTTTAATTGTGATGTAAACATCCATTCACGTAAATTTGTATTTCATTTCACGCAACCGAGCAACTTGTAAACAATGTTGTTTACAAATATGGGATTTTGTATACAATATTTCTGCATTGCATGAAATGTGTCAGAACTTTACATGATATATAATGTAAACGTATATGATATGTGACGCTCCACTTATGTGCATCATATTGAACAGAAATTTACACTACTTTTTCGAGCAGTGTTTTTTGTATTCATGTCGATGTTGTTCATTCGTCATCTTGTCATTTTCAACTTTGTGTACTCAATTTTGGGTAGCCCTACTTTTGACGGATACGAGTAGAATGCAAAAACGGTGCAATTTGCATAAACTTGCCCTACGCATCTAAAGTGGACGTTACACATGTCAATATCTTCAAAATAATCGTACTGTGAACGTTTCCTTCAATTTCTTCAATATATGGAGATAGGCAATAATAAAAACAATAAAGCTTTATGTTATCAATATTATTGATAATACTCCTCCAATGTAATCCAGTGTGTAACTGGTGCAACATCTTGGTCTATACATCATCCTCATTTGTACAATCGCTATCAGAACTTGTACAATTATGAACAAAACGTGGAACCCCATGAAGATAGGAAGTTAGAGCATGGATCATTCTCACACTGACAATCTCGATAAACATTTCAAAAGGTAGTATCTGCTTTGATCGATTTTTATATACTTTCTCATTTGATAACCTATGCAAACAGATTCCGCGCTATTTTGGCCACATAGTTTGATAAAAGAGGTTCTATCTATCATCCAAAACGTCAAATACTACAGGGAAACGTTACGTCCATTAGAATTTATGGAGAAATAAATATTCAGCAGCGTTTTTTGCTTGCTGTTTTTTTTCCCCAGATTTGACTGATGTGTTTTTATGGACAATTTAAGTCATTCAACTTGAAGGAGATTCATCACAAGTTAAAACCAAAGTGGGTACTATTGAACCGTTGGTATTGTTAAGAGACGTAGCCTCCACTTTGCAACATAATATGTGTGATGAAGATGGATGATATAACCATGTCATTAACGTGCTATTCTGAACGTGGTAGGCATTGATATTTAGAGTTTAAAAGTGTCCGTAGTTATTGACTAAGCGTATGTATCTTAATGCTTTTCGAAAATTAACATTACTATTGCTTGCTGCATTAGCCTGATGATTCAAAAGTGCACCGTATTAAAATTATAATATATTGGCAATCTAACGATACCATAAAGTGCCACTAGCCGGCGCCGGTGGTGTAGTGGTAAGCGTGACAGCTTTCTAACACCCCAATGGGTCTGGGTTCAATCCCAGCCGAGGTCGGTGGGATTTTTTGAGGCATAAAAATCTCTGGTCACGTCTTCCTTCGGAAGGGAAGTAAAGCCGTTGGTCCCGACCCATGTGTGTTGAATGGGTGCGATATCCTACGCAGGTGTGGAAGCTGCCTTCCTGCACATTCGATTGCCGTCAATGGATGGATATCGATGTCCGTCGGTGATTGGCACTAGATTGCGGAACAGAGACCGACGTTAAATAAAGGAAAGAAGGAAAGAAGATAAAGCCCCACTTGTGGCAAATAGGAGAACTAGAAAGCTGATGATGGTATCATAATTTTGCACGGCGAGGTATAGGAGAATATTTCAAAAACGCTTTTATT